TTAGGATATGCATATAATTGGATAATCATTCATACGTATACTTAATTGGGCTTGCATGCAGGTTTGATGTAAATGGTTTCTTGGGAAAGTATAAAGGCAAAACGGTGATGTTCGTGGGAGACTCCATAGCACAAAACCAGTGGATGTCACTGACATGCTTGATTTTCAGGCATTTTTGGAGCTACACCCGCAGCTACATCAAAAACCACCAGCAGAAGGTGATTGCCATCAATATCTTTTTCCATGAACCGGCAATCAGTATTGTCTACCAACAAAATCGGTTTCTGGTTGACATGGTGGGTGAGAGTGATCCCATTAATGGCCCGGTCATAGTGCTTGACTCCATCTCATCTGAAATTACCCAACTCTGGTTGACGGCCGATCTCTTAGTTGTCAACAGTTATCATTGGTGGACGCACAGCGGCTCCATACAACCGTACGTAACTTCATTCAAATCCCACCTATTTTTAAATTAAAGCATATAGGATGCTCCATTTAGAATTATTAGACCTGAACTCAATTGGTTTCATTAAACACAAACATGTTATTTATAGTAACTACAAGACTATGACCTAATTACGAGCTCAATAACAGTGAGTCTGTAAATGACAAACCCTACATCTGCTAACACTTTCCCTTAAGTTGAGACATGAGGATAAGAGATGAAAAACTTGGACAATAAAAAAACTATGGAGTACGTGTAACATGATCCACGTGACCGAATACATGGGCTGATGAATCGGGTTGTCACCAGATTGGCATCCAAACACAATAATTTTCAAAATAATTTAAAATAGTTAATTCAAAATATTATTCAAAACATCAATCGGAGTTAATGAAACAGTGTGGAAGCTTAAATACTTAATTCAAAGGCATAATAATTCAAACTAAAATATTTAACTAAAAAACTCTTCAACTAGAATCCTTCCATCTCATTATCCTCGCTGCCCTCCAGGATATTTCCTTATTTGTCATTCGTGTTACCTACGTGTAGCAAGTTAAACAAAATACACGCTTATTAGCTTTCACGCCGAGTGAGAGGTTCTTAGAGTCACATCAGATTATTTCAACATACATAATCACACATAGTATTTCATTCTCATGTAGTATCACATAAAAGTATCAAATAATATCAACAATATCATAGCACTTACCATAATCATTTGGTTGCATTAGTTTTTAACACAATATCCCTATTCTTACAATAGCTCATCTTTAACACTTTTTATAACTTATTCTAGGTTAATGCTAATTCCTCATCATCCACAATGTTATCTTAAGACCTAAAGCCAATATATACGACCATGAATGAAGTCTAATATATGACATTAGAATCACTACCTACGGCCATGACTCCGATCAACCCGATACCTAGGGTGCCAGGTTGGTGGAACCTCCAATCCTACGGATCAAATCCCAGATTCCATGTAAATACATCTTTACCCGAATACATTGGACAATACATCCACAAGGCTCTACAACCTATTGTCAACTTACAATTTTAATCTTCACAAGCTAGTCCTAGAGTTCTTCTAGGTAACCTACGTTGTTTATCACTTCACATATTCAGATTCAAGATAATAACATCCTAACTTCTTTACTCATTCAAGGAATATCAAGATTATATTCAAAATATAACATAGGGACAACAACTATTAATTAATTATCATATAATACAAATAACATTATAGTGTCGGGTGTAAACGCCTTTCACTTACCGTCATGCAGCACATAAGGTCTCATAATCATTCCATGACTTGATTGGAGCAACAAATAAGAAAAGTGAGATTTTCAGCACCTAATACGGTACCTTGGTACCCTCGGTCTGGTACCTACTCACCGTCCGGTGCAGGTACCGGTAGAGGATTCTTCCCAATGGAGGTAGCCAGGTATCGGAAGTTGTAGCAGAGAAAAAATACAATCCCAAACCTAACCAATATCACTATACAATATTTATCAAGACTACTAACACACAATCCACAACAAATAGAGTAGTAGAGTGTATCTGGTCCTTCGCTCATAAACCAAAGAATATTATATTTTGAATAAATCATAAAGTAAACGAATCTACAGTTAAAACCCATGAACTGAACTGGCCTCGATTGGTTGAACAGTTAAAACCAATCAAACATATCAATAGTGGATGATGGGAAGTGGCGGCGTACCTGCGTCGATACATAATAGCAGAGGCAACAATTCGATTCCTATGGACTCACCGATGTTGATGATCCACTACTGCGCTCCCTCAATTCATGCTCAAATACAGATGCTCGGCACGAGAACATGCCGTGTATGTAAATAATAATGGGGGAGGGGTTGGGTTCTTTCCTCGGGTAGATTAGGAAATAATACGGAGTATCTAATAATACTATTATATTCAAAATAAATTTTATTTAATTATTCTACTGCATCTTCATTTCTATTCATAACGTTTTATACATAATTCTAAACTCGACAAATAATGTCATTGGTCATCATTTTACGAGACCTACACAACGACCTAATTTTGAGTATATAATTTTGACGTTATGAATTACTCATATTTTTATGACAAAAAAAAAATAAAAATATACTTTTTATATAATACCTAAAAATTGTATTCTAATCTTTTGTTTAGAGTCAGATTGTCAAAATAAGATATTGGCATATTCAAAAGAATGTTTCTAATACAATATTCATTAAAACAAATCATATCTTGAAATCTCGTTTGGACAAGTAAAATATCAAAAATTATATTTAAATATTTAAAAGAATTAATTCCAACATAAATAAATAATATTTATTTATTTAAAAATAGAGGCTAACTACTAAGTCGTTCTTAGGGTGTTAAAGTACGACTTAAAAAACTTGAAAAATATAAACGAATTGAACAAGCGTCTCAAATCTGGATAGGGTGTTGCGCTACAAACGAACAGTAAAAATTTGATGACGAATGATTTCCGCATGGTGACACGGGGAAAACTAACAAACGTCTCAAACCTGGATACGGTGTTGCCGAAGAGAGGTGCGACTCTGCGACAAACCCCATAAATTTGCATGTCGAGCGTACGGCTGGTTGCAATTGAACATACCCAAAAGAAACAAAAAACAACTTCATTAAAAATGACTCGGTCTAAACATGAAAACCTTCTTGTGCGGAGTACATATAAAGCAAAGTAGAAAAGTAGATCAATAACCACTTAGGCATACCAAACAACACACTAAAATAACACCAACGTTTTGAGCGCCACGTAAAATTGAAAAAAACAAAAATTGAAAAAAGAAAAATCAGATGACAAACAAAGACTGTTATTGCTGGATTGATGCCATGGAAACAAAACAAAATCCCAGATCGATGAATTTGTGATAGGAGTGCCAACAGAATCTATGGTAGTTGAACGATCGGAGATGATGGCTCTAACGATGACTACACACAGGGATTCGGAGCTACTTGGCCGACAAAATTGCAGTTTCAGATAGAAGGACGTTTGTCTGTGAAAATTAGCAATTGACATTCTGTAGAAAATAGAGGAGATGGCAGCGCTGGATTGATTATGGCAGCGACTAGGCGGCACACCGATGAATTGGTTTTGTAAAAGGAAGGATGCTGAAGTCACCGTTGCCAACAAGAAAGGCAATGGTGGCAAAAGAGAAACAATCTTGACTAGGGTTTCAGATGCCAAGATTGGCTCTTCCGATATATTACGTTGTAGATGTTATGATGGGTAAGAGTTACTGGATAGAGTTGAATGAGACTTAAGTTGAACCACATTAAAATTTTGAATTCAATCAATTAACAAATTCAACTTAAGAGCTTTTAATCATGTTTATAAAATTGATGGTTGCTATCTTCAAGTAAACCCTTATCCAGCCCGACCCAAACCCACCCCCTAACCCCTTCAATTTCATCTCTAAAATATTTTTGACTTTGGAGTCAAAATATTTGACTCCAAAGTAGACCTGATCAAAGTGCGGGCTGGGCCGGGTTTCAGGCCGGGCCGAGACACTATTTTACGAAAATTTTCTAAGCTTGAGCCCGGCCCGACCCGTATAACGGGCCTAACAATTGAAGCTCAAGCCCGGCCCGGCCGACAAAAACTTCTAAATTAAAAATAATTTTTTTTAAAAAAGTAACAAGTTAATATATTGGATATTTGATATAAAAACTATTATGAGTAAATGAAAGAAAAATTGATATATAAATATATTTTGTTTGATATTGCTACTATGTATGGAGTACAAAATATTATCTATTGGAATGTCATAATCAATGTGTGATACGTTGCAAACAATACGGAGTAGTAAAGATGTATTCATTTTATTATATATACCCATAGTTTATTTTTTCTCTCCATAGAAGTATGTATGTGTGTTTATAATAATTTGAAATAGGTTTGTTCTTTACTATTATTATTATTAATGTTGTTATTGTTATTTTATTATAATTATATTAATAATAAATATTGAATTTATTCTGGCCGGGCCGACCCGTGGGCTTGAGCATAAACCCGAGCCTGGCCCTAAAATATTCGGGCCGCCATTTATAAGGCCCAAGCCCGGCCCGTACCCTAAAATGTCAAGCCCAAGCCCTCTATTTTGCGGGCGGGCCGGATACCCGGGCCCGTGATCGGGTCTACTCCAAAGTGAGCAATACTAATACTTCATCCTTTGAGATGATTATTATAATAGTATTAGTAATAATAACAATAATAAAAAAAAACAAAAATAATAATAACACTACTTATAATAATGTTATTTCTAAATTTTCTTCTCATTTGGCTATATTCAGCCCATTTATATTAAAAAGATAAGTTTACTATAAACTATTTAAAAAAGAAAAGAAAGAGGTGAAGGGAAATTATTTTTGTTTATTATTAAATGTTACAAATTTAGCAACATGAGGTGTGAATTTAGCATCAATCTAATAATAATAAAAATAATTACAATAATAATAATAGAACTTATAAATAATAATAATAATAATAATAATAATAACAACAACAACAACAACAACAATAATAATAGTAATAATAATAATAATATGACATATTTGGCTCGTCACAAAATAAACTTTAAACTTTCATTTTTCATTTATTTTAAAATAAACTTCTTACTTTTCTTAATTTCTTCTAGAGAGAAAAAGAATGTTTGCCTCTCAATATTTCTCTTATCTAAATAATTTTCAACTACATATTTCTTTTATTTTCCAACTTTTAAAATTTCATGAAGCGGAGAGGTTCTAATGCCCCTACACTAGACATCTCGGTGCTCCTTTCACAAAACTGATGGTTCTTACTCTGTGTAACCTCCCAAGAAACCCTCTCACCCTTGCCCGACTTGAACCCACCCTTCATCACTTTGACCTTCCAAGTTTAGTTGACTTTGATGTCATGTTTTTTAACCAAAAGTCAACTAAACTTTGGAAGTCCAATTGACGAGGGTGGGGGTGGGCTCAAGTTGGGCCAGGGTGGGAGGTTTATCGGGTGTGCGGGAGGATGGTTAGGAGTAGGAACGATCAATTTTGCAAACGGTACAACATAGATGCCCCAAAATTCTAGTGGCACCGTAGTATAGTGACAACAGAACCGTGCCTTGAACGAATTGAAGTTAAATTATGAAAATTTGTTTTGGACAGGATAATAAACACTCCTTCAGTCTCCTTAAAAACTTCTATTTAGAGTTTAAGATGTTTGATAGGATTTGTTTTGAATATAGTTTGATTTATACATAGTACTCCTTATAAAAAATAAAACATTAAGTTTGTATAAATAATACTGAGTACATCAATTTTTGTTTGGATAAAGGTAGAAAATGGAAAGAAATAAATGAAAGAAAAGAAACTAGAAATAAAATTGATTATTGTCCCTATCGAGTTGCAGTGACTGCATCATCCCAATTTTGGGTTGGGCTTCATAAAAAATTATTCTGATTATCATATTCTAAATATTAAACCGTCAAATTCTATTCTTATAATTTGTTATTGTTTACCTTTTCAATTTATTATGTTAATATCATTTGAATTAACATAAACGCCTTTTGATAATTTTTTAAAAGTGAAAATTAATTTTTAAATAGGAAAGAAAGGTAAATGCAATAATTCAACAATTTTTCAAAATGTTAAAGCTAAATATTGAAGCCATTGCCAAACATATTCTTAGACAATAGTGGGAGGTGTATAAAACTCTTAAACAAATTTTGAAATAGAATAGATAAATTAATTGAGGTATTCGGACTCTAAAAAAGTGATTTCTTTGCTCCAAAATTTATATGGTTCATTTCAACCTCAAAATCATAAATTTTTAGGGTTAAAAAATTGCAATAGATGGAATGGAAATCCTAATCACGATCACTTTTCACAACATTTATCAATCATTTCTGAGATCCAAACACTTTTATATACTTTTTGTGTTGCAGATGGAAATATTTAGAAATTGACGGTATGAAGTATAGTACAATGGATCACATGAGTGCGTATGATCGTGCTTTAAATACATGGGCTAAATGGGTGGATAAAAACATTGATCCCCAGAAGACAAGAGTCTTTTTCCAAGGGATATCTGCTTTGCATCTAAATTAGTAAGTACTTCCGTACAGAGTTATTGTTTCCATTTATTATTTGACCTCTCTCAATAACTTAAGTTTTAATGCTTGTTGTTTATATATATATATTGTCTTAATGAGTTATTGAATTTTGAACATATTTAAGTAACATTTATTGGGGTGTTGTCATATATTTATATATATAGCTGGACGCCAAATGGCGAAAAAAGAGAGAACTGCTTGGGGGAAAGAGAGCCAATAAAGGGCTCAACTTTCCTAGGAATGCCCTATCCAGGAGAGGTGATATTAGAACGTGTTCTTTTAAATACAATAAAAAGGCCCGTGACTTTCATGAACATTACGTTGATGACTCAATTAAGGCCAGATGCTCATCCAGAGTTGTACGATAATACCTTGGATTGTAGTCATTATTGTGTTCGTGGAATACCTGATGTGTGGAATCAACTCATGTATGCTTCTCTATAGCAAGTTGCACTTTCATGCATCCTTGTTTGTCATTTTCTTTTTTTTTTTAGATCTATTGGATCGAGAACTTAAAGAGTATCTTTTGATTTTCTGATGTGTTATTCTTTCAAAATATACGTTTGGTGTATTTCAATATTTTATGTTGCTTTTCCCCTTTGTACAATGCAATTCAATTATTTATATGGTTATTAAACATTTGGTGTATTTCATATACATTCTTGTTGCAAAAATAAACACTCATCTAATAATGAAAAATTCATAGTCTTTATGTAACTAATTATTATACTTTGTGATGGTATAAATACCCTTGTTATATGAAAAAAGAGTAAATTCCATAAAAAGTCCCCAGTTATAGGTCGTTTTACATATTTAGTCCCTACATATCAAATATTACTAATTTAGTTCCCAATTATTATATTCATTTCCACGAATGGTCCTTTGTTAACATTTCCCTTAAGAACGTGGATAAAATTGTAAATTCACACTCCTTTCTCTCCTCAATTAAGCTTCCTCCCTCCCCTCGCACTCCTTTCCCAAACTCGTCGCTGAAATTGGAGCCTTGAACCCAAAACCGAAATCATCACTCTTCTCTCAATTGGTTGTCTAACTGGTGGAACCAAAATTCGAAACCAGTAACCTTCAGGGATGAGTTTTAATGTTTATTTTCTTTGCAATTTCTTGAGACTAACCGATAAAACTCATCCATAAAGCTTATTGGTTTTGATTTTAGGTTCTACCAGGAAGACTAATAATTGAGAGAGGAATGATCATTTCAGTTTTGGGTTTAGAGCTTCAAACTCAGCGACGAGTTTGGGAAAGAGTACGAGAGGAGGGAGGAAACTCAATTAAGGAGAGAGAGAAGTATGAATATACAATTTTATCCATGTTCTTAACAAAAACGTTAACAAAGGACCATTCTTGGAAAATGATATAATAATTGAGGACTAAATTAGTAATATTTGATATGTATGGACTAAATATGTCAAACGACCTATAACTGGGGACGTTTTATGGAATTTACTCATGAAAAAAATACCATCTGTGAGTGTATGTCTAGAATACACACTTACAATATTTGGGGAGTAGAATCAAACATCAACCTGAGATTTGGAGCCTGTAGATTATTACCACGACACGTTTCACCCCATCATGAGTACCTCCACCATCATACAACATGTCATCTCTACTTTCACCTATCCATTTCATCACCATAAATAAAGAGGAGGGAAACTATTTAGAAAATAATTTGTGGGGAAATAATTTTTTAAATTCTGAACTTTGAACATATGTACAAGTTCCAAATGAAAGGTAACCATGGTTTGGAGGGCAGCAGAAGTACAAAAGTTTAAGCTACCAATAGTAATTACTAGCCCAAGAATACGTACTAAAACTATAGCTAGAGATAGAAACTTATAACTTCTCCGGTAAAGCGGTATGAACGTGAAGTCGAGAAAAGATGTTGAAGGAGCAAGCGTAGCCGTTCAAGCGTCTGGACTCTAAATTTTACACGCGAACAATCTCCGGAGTCTACCCTAACACTTGTGCTAGCAAGTGTTAAAGTAGTATATTAAAATATAGAGATTATTTTAGGGATGATATAAATCTTGTATACTCCGTATAAAATAGTAGAAAATATATCAATAATATTTTAAAGAAAATATTATATCAATCTTCTACACCCAAAATAATAACTTTGGAACTCAAAATGTTTTTCCCTCTTCCTCTTCAATTTTTGGCCGAAACTCCCTTCCATGCAGTGAAGAAAAAATTGCCATTTTATATTATTAAAAGAATGGTTTATAAAACATTTACAATTGGAAAAGGCCAAAGGTACACTCATTGTGAAGTGTAGTGAGAGACAAAGCCCCCACACACACAAGGTATGCATATGTACGAAATAAGGACGGGGGAATTTAATTCTTCTCCTCTCAAATGTTCAAAGTGTATTTTATTTGATATCAATAATTTTTATGATATAAAATAAAATACCCAAAACAATTTAAAACAAGTATATAAAATATACTTTAAAAGAGTTTTTGTCAAAATAATTATTTTCATAATTAAAATGACACTTCAAAATAAAATGTACACAATATAATACTCCCTTCGTCCCACTGTCTTTATCCACTTACCTTTTGGCACACCATCCAATGCACTTCTTTAATCCATTTTATCTTGTAATTTGTATATTAAAAAAATATAGAAATTATATATTAATAATCTATATGTTAAGACAAATCAAACAAGATCACACATGACTATATTTAGGCTTACACATTGAGAAAATTTTATGAGTCAAAGTGCTTAGATGAACAGTTCCAAAAGTCAAAAGTGGACAAAGACAGTGGGACGGAGGTAGTATATAATGTAATATATATATATGTCTGTGTGTACATGGTTTGAGTATTACATATATATGTACACACGTACATTTTATATGTTTAATATATGTGTGTGTGTCGTGTACAATGTGTGTATGTGTGTGTGTATATATATGTATGTATATATGTATGTATATGTATGTATGTATGTATGTATGTATGTATGTATGTATGTATGTATGTATGTATGTATCTATGTATGTATGTATGTATGTATGTATGTATGTATATATTATATTAAACATTTTATTTTACTATTTTACAAGTTCAGACGGTTGCTCCGTCAAAACCTTTCTACGACTACGACTTTGTATAACATAGATCCTTTTGTCCCAATGCCTTAACTTAGTGCAAGGGATATAATATAGCCAACTTGTAGCCATTAAGTTATTTACTGATTAACAAGTCTGACTGATGAGAACAGATGTCTAAACACATCTCAGCATGACCATCCATTTCCTCAGTCATCTTATCAGTGGGCCCCTACAAGACATTATTCTGCTTAAGTAGCAGTGACAAATTCTTTGTACGTAATCTACGTCTTCGAATACGTGAAGCAGCATGCCCAATACAAATCCTGTGTACCATCCTTGTTTCATACGGCTTAGGACAATGAATCAAAACATACAGGTTCACGCATTCGAAGAACGTAATACTTCAAGTCTAAGTACTGTTATACCAATAGTCGCATTAAGGAAACTTAGAGCATAGACTAAAAGTCTAGGCAATGTCCTTAAGGTGGGTCAGGTCTGGCATCCTATTATTAACGATAATATCTGGCCGAGAGTATATGTAAACACTCCGTCATTGACCAAGAGACTAGGTCAAACATCTAACTCTCACTAGTCTCACACGCACTAACGATATCCCAATCTCGTTAATGCTTCGACTATAGACCGTTTAAAATTATACAAATTGACAAGATGTTAGTCTCAACATCAGAAGACTCATTTTGATAAACGTCTTATAATATAATTCTAGGAATACAATTAAGAGTTTACATTAGCATGAGATGTTTGTAAACTTATTACATCTGCCTTTACATGATAGAAAATATCTAAGATATTACAACAGCAGTTGGCCATAAGGGCACCAACTCCAACAATCTTCCACTTGCACAATGGCCAATCTGGCATCAGTCGAATGCCCATTGACCTAGTGTGACCCTCATGCTTTAGCTTTCCCAAGGGCTTGGTCAGGGGGTCGGCTATGTTGTCGTCTGTTCCTACTTTGCAAATCTCCACATTGCCTTTGTCTGCGATTTCTCGTATGATGTGATAACGTCGTACAATGTGCTTGGTCTTTTGGTGAGATTGTGGTTCCTTTGCCTGTGCAATGGCCCCAGTGTTGTCACAGAACAACGAGATTGGGTCATTAAAACGAAGAACCACTCTAAGTTCAGAAATGAACTTCTTTATCCAAACACCTTCCTTTTGCTGCTTCAGCAGCAGCCATGTACTCAGCCTCTGTAGTGGAATCGTCGGTTGTGTCCTGTTTAGAACTCTTCCAGCTAAAAGCTCTTCCATTCAGGCAAAACACATACCCTGCTTGTGAATTGTAATTGTCTCGATCGGTTTGGAAGCTCGCATCAGTGTAACCAATCACTTTCAGCTCTTCCTCACCTCTATATACCAGGAATGCATCCTTAGAATTCCGAATATACTTTAGGATGTTCTTGACCGCTGTCCAGTGTGCTTCACCTGGATTCCCCTGGTATCAGCTGGTCACGCTTAAAACAAATGAGACATCAGGTCTAGTACATATCATGGCATACATGATGGAACCAATTGCAGAAGCATATGGGACCTTCATCATGAGTTCCTTCTGCTCGGGAGTAGAAGGACACTGGCTTTTGGAAAGAGTCGTGTCAGGTAACATAGGTAATGATCCGTTTTTCGAGTTAGTCATGCTAAATCGATTAAGGACCTTATCTATATATTTACTTTGACATAGACCTATCAATTTTCTTGACCTATCACGGTAGATTCTTATGCCAAGGGCATAACTAGCATTCCCCAAGTCTTTCATGGTGAAGTTTTCGCTCAACCAAGTCTTTACAGAAGTAAGAGCAGGAACTTCGTTACCCATTAACAATATGTCATCGACATATAGGATTAGGAATACTATCACTGTAACACCCTAATCCGTCCAGGTCTGCAGCCCCTTTCGGACTAAAGTATTAACTTGGTAATCGTAAAATTTAAAACTTTTCAAACACTTTTATTTATCACGATAATATTTTTCATAACATCTACAGTGCGGAGTTTTCAATATTGCGGAAGCTTAACAAATCATAATTACAAACATAATTTATTTATGTTCTTTAATTCAAAACCATCACATCCATTCCGACAATCTCGCCTCCGTCTGCCTCCAGAATCACGTCACATCATTCTTTCTATTAACCTGCGTGTAGCAAATAAAACATACTACACGCTTAGCGGTGAAGCTGAGTAAGCATATCTAAAGCGTCGAACATCCATATAAATTGAACCCAAATTCATAATCAAATCATTTGATATCATGCACAAAGTATTCAGTTCAAATATACAATAATCAATATTCAACATTCGTCATTCAATATTCATATTCAACATTCAACATCCTCATTCAATAATATCCTTAAACTATTCTTAGTCTAAGGCCAATCTTTTTAATGTTTACCAACTCTTAAACTAGTTCTAGTTTAAGGTACTTCTATCCAACTCTTAAACTTATTAGAGTTTAAGGTACTTCTAACCAACTCTTAAGCTAGGTCATTAGTTTAAGGTACATATATTCCGATTGATTTACCAACTCTTAAACTAGCCTTCGCTTAAGGTACAAATCCAGAAAACCGAACAGTAGGATACTAACTGTCGGGTTGGGTGGCATCCCCAAACGAGTTCCTCTAGTTTGGTTATGGATCCTGTACGTACGTTTTAACCCAGGCCACCGAATATTCATAATTATACCCGCAAGGCCCATTTCTAAGTCATCTTAGAAGTCTTCTAGATAGTCTTAGAAACCAACGTCAACCTAGGTATATTTTAGAGTTCTTCTAGATATCCTTAGCATTCAAATCATTTCATAATCATCAACATATTCATTTCAATTCATAATTTAATCTTCAATAATCATTTTAATCAGCAGTTTCATCAAATCATAATCATCATAATCATCAATCAACATAACATTTGATAACAAACAGCGGCCTAGTCTCGAGTGTTAACACCCGAACTTACCGTCATGCATCACATAGTATTTTATATGCCAAAAACATCCTTTTTATTATACAAAATCATATTTATATTGTGCATAATTAATTGGTATCAAAAATAGGATTTTATAGTTCAAAAATCATGTTTTCTAAACAATAATTGATTAATATATGATAGGAAATTCAATTATTAACTATTAGCTTCATTTTCTTCAATAGTGTAGGGAAACAGTCTACTATCACTTCTGATAATCTACTGTCTGATGTTCAGAATGGTCTGATAATCGATTATCACACTCTGATAATCGATTATCACACTTCAGAGAGGGCTGACAATCGATTATCACATTCTGATAATCGACTGTTGCTCAGCTTTGTTACAAAAAAATCTGCAGAACGATGAATAATCGATTTTCAAGTTGATAATCGATTATCCATCGTCTTCTACCTCGAGCCAACTTGCGGAAATGTCACTTTTACTCACCAAACTTCAATTAAAGTATATAAAAATGTTCTCCAAGGTTTATGGATCATTTTAGCATCATTAATTCATAATTTTAACATCAATTTCATGGTTTATGATTCTTAGTTCTTCAAG